GGGGGGGGGGGGGTGCAGCCACCCCAGCTGTTCAGCTAAACTCAATCTTCTCTGCAAAAACGGACCCAAGAGAAAATCCTGGAAAAAAACCCTGGACTAGTATTGTTGGAGAAGTGGCATTGCTCATTAGTTATGTGATAAAAAGTAGTTAGGTTAAAGAATCAGGAATCACACCTGGCCTGATTAATAACAATGTCCTGCTTGAATAAGTGTAATATCATTTATACTTTCATGCTTGTATTGCTTGATATATGTTGATGTGTAGAATGACCCATTATTGAAATCAATAAAGGGTTTTCAGAACTTGCAATTTATTTTATGGTACCACTGGGAGGTTGTGCAGGGCCCAGAGTAAAATTTTTCCAGGGAGACCATATGACAACATTAAGTTTTCCCAGGGGTCCCTATGACATCATAATTATTAAATGGGAGAAGAGGTGTTTTACAATATATTACACTTTACTGCAATTTATCTGGTACTGACACAACTCTTTGGGGACCCCTTTTGAGCTGGGCTTTTGCCTGCATCCCTACTTTTGGCGGTCCTGAAATTGTTTAAGATGTATGAAGTTATATGATAGTTTACTAATAAACCTAAAATTTGGTTTTAGTAGTCATATTCTGAAAAAGTAAAATTGTTTTTGTTGAGAATTGGACTTCAAATACAATTGTTAATTGTTGCACACTCAATTGTCCATTACAAGAATGAACATCTGATATCTATATATAGTACTACCTGAAAAAAAACGAGCAGAAATTTGATGTTTCGAGTGGAGGCCCTTTGTCAAGAGTTAGTAGCCAATGTTGAGTTTCTGCTTGTTTTTTTTTCAGGTAGTATTACTATATAACCACTCAGCACAGCAAGACTGTGGAATAGTTGACAATCATTTATTTACCAGTTTTAGTGGAACCATTGTATAAATTGTGTAGACGGTTTCATATTATTACATACTGTATGTAGTACATACTGCTATTGTTAAAGACCATGTAAAGTTTGTTCTGCGCATGCATTCTGCAGGCCTACATTCCAATGATCGGGAACCGACCATTGGAATGTTATTAATATTTTGCACCTTCCAAACTTTCTAGAATTGAATCTCTGGTCTGTATTCATTTACAAACATAGCAAACCAGAAGAATTAAAATTCAGCATAATATATATGATATATATCTAATATAGCACTGGGTTTAGAATGTAAACAAAGGGTTTGTTTACATAATTACATACTTTACATGGCCTTTAATGAAACCTTTTTTGGCTACTAACACCAATATTTCTGACCGAGTTGTACAGGTAATACTGTAAACAGAAACAATATATTATATTATATCATCAAACAATTCCATCAAACAAGTTGCAAAAGAATCCAAATGCTGTTCAGCTGTTTAATTGTCACATTCAAACCATGATGATTCATACATTTACAGTTCAATTAAAAAATCCCAAATCTTGTATAAACACAGTCCTAGCATACGTGTACGCTTGTAAGTCTTGTACGCTTGAATTTCTTTTCAATAATAACACTCCAATATAGTAGATCAAGGATATATGCCATCATTCCCATCAATATACTCACTCAGAGTGAACCAAGAGTATGAATTATTACCATAACGAAGTCTGTTATTTTGCCCAAATGAATTAAAGTATGCATAAATCAATCCTTAATCCCTTCACCACTTTTTCGGACGAAAAGCAACAAAAAATTCGTCAAAATAAGCAACTTTTCAGGCCAAATAAAGCAAAATATATCGTATTTACTCATATTGGCCGCGCTCGTGAACGCCACAGGGGGTATGGGTTCAATAACTTATGGATCGACCAATCAGGATCGTTTTTCAATCCCGTGTGGCCAGAGCCACTCAACGATGGCTCTGGGTACGAGATTGATCTTTGAATCTCTCCAGCTATCAAACCGCAAATATTTGCTTAAACTTGACTCCATGTGGCTGTCGGGAATACACTATTTAGGATGAAATCCAAATTAAATTGTCTCAATAACAGTCGAAATTGTCAAAATAAGTCCAATATGCGACGTGCGATCGCAAAAGTATTTTCTGTTATTTACTTTTTATTTTGCGACACTTAAGCGTGAATAATTTCGCGACAAAATATATTATTTTTTACCGCATCCTTTGACGTCACAGTAGAAAGCTGATGCATCACCTACGTCACGGTAGATTTTGTTTGCATCGATTTTCAGCCATTTTGCATCAGTGAATGCATCGGTCCCGAGTCCTTTTCCGCGTAAAATCTACTGTGACATCATCAAATCTATTGTTTTAGAGCCCTACGTCACGGTAGATTAGTCCGCTGAGCGATGCATCGCATGCAGATTGCGGGCGCTCGCATCAGTTTACTGATGCAAATTTCAAAATCAAAATCTACTGTGACGTAACGAGGCATTCGATTCAAGTCATGGCGGCAAGGATATGCAAACACTATATGCAAATGAACAAATAATGCGAAGAAATATCCCTCGAATATGATGGAGAGCAATTAAGTTACAGTCAAATTAATTACCAAGGTTTGGAATGAATTTGATCTTTCAACTGAGCAGTGAGCACAAGAATTGAAGTATATTTATACTGTGAGAATGTGAGATGCCCACTACGGCCACTAGGGCTCTAAAGTAAGTGGAATTTATGTATATTTTACATTGTAGTACATTGTTAATTGTTCAGTTCAATGTAGATTTGTATGTATTAACATAATAATTAAAGTTTGTGTCTATTTGATACTGCTGTTCATACCAGGAGGGGGGGGGGTTGTGGGGGGGATGAGGTAGTTTGACATTTTAGACATTTTACAGTCTTTACAGAGATTTGTTTGTCTGGAGGCAAACCAGCCCCATTACCAAACTTGACAGCTTGCTTTACTGAGGCAAATTTCATCTCTGTTTACATGGGATTCATATAACCTGTGCCCATGCAGACCTTCATTTTTCTCACAGCTGGCGGGCAAAGAAAAATGAAGACCTGATAAAGTCACATGTTATTAAATGTTTGTGTCCTACAACTGCTTTTATGGTTGTAACTCTGATTGCCGGCTACTTCTAGCATTGCCATATTTAATGTATTTTTTTGATATTTTGGTTAGTGCTATATATAATTAAATAATGATAGATTAAATAGTGATTGTAACTATATTTAGTTTGTTGTTAAATTATGTGAAATAATTTGACATTTCGCCTGGCACATTTTGATTGGATACCGGTACTAAAAATAAAACTTTGGTGTGGGTCAAGACTTGCATCAGGCACTGTACAGTATGTAATTACAATGCATAATAATATTGCAGGTTAATTAACCCATTGAGTCGCATTGCACCCTGATGCACCCTACTTTAGTATTTTACTCTGTCTAACGCCAGACGATTTTACTTGTCAAGCGGAGAGTGCTGGCGCTTAATGGGTTAATGAGCTGGATTTCTAATAGTGATGCAATATTGGTTAGAAAACATTACATTTCATTTTATATGGAAATGAGCTGGCGTGCCTCATGACAAGAGTATAATTGCTTTGCATTGCCTGAGTTATTGGGCAATTACTGTACACTGGATATTTTGCAAACAAAGATCATTACCTGGGCGTGCTCGCCTACCATAGTTTGCTACATATGCTTTGTCGGTGCAAATATAATTTGATATAAGCTGTATATGTCATTCTGTTGACAAATTTTAATCTTAGAATGATAAAATGATGGACGTTATAAATACTGTATATAACTGCATGTTTCTGGTGTATATAGGTTATAATTATGAAATTTACTCACAAAAGTGGTATAGATTTAATTAAATTATATATATTTGTAGTGCTTAATTCTCCCAATACTATGTTTTGGATAGCCAGCATGGCTCTCTGAGGATTACCATTGATAAGTGTACGGATATATTTGACGAAGATGTGCATTTATAAAGTAACACAGAGAAAATATTGATCAATACTACTGCGCAGCCTTTCTACATTGACATCATCTTAAAAGAGTATTATATTAAAAATTAGTTGAAAGGCAGGCAAAAGGGGACTGATAGAAGACATCTGATGATTCAATTATGTCATCATATATTGTTTATCATTGTACAGTTTGGTAGGTTCATTTGACAAACAATTTTCAACTAAGATAGTTCATTAAATCAATTTACACACAGTATCACTATATATATCTATTGATTTAAAGTTTGGGGTCATGTGTACCTATAGTTATACTTATAGAATTTTAAAACTCAGTGCTTGTTGTGTGTTAGTTTTACTGGTTTCCTGGTGACAGGGCAATATTCTCAGTAATTTAGAGTGTGGGCTAGTCACCATGCAAATATGCAATTCACATCAAAGGCATCTATTGCTAGGGGTGAATAAAGTTGACGTACTGATGCCAACAACACTGTCCATACAGAGTAAGGTTAGCAGCATAAGACAGAGTTGTATATAAATAAGTTTACCAACTAGAGCACAAAATACCTTTATGCACCATTCTAATGCTAAAAAATTTACTCATGGAACATTGCAAATTAGTGGAAATGAATAAGCCTCAGGGAAGGTGGTTAAGAAACCTAATAACATTGTCTTTTGAGTCCAACATTGCAACTAGTGGATCACACTGTATACACCTTTGTTACACGTATGTGTGTATTTGCGTTGTCGTGATTTTTTGCCGAAATGTTTTTCAATAGAAAAGTTAAGGCTACAAGAAGCACAGTAGTAAGTACTGACTATTTTTTAATAGAGACTTATGCACCGCTGCTGCTATTACAATTGTACAAGCAAATATTTTTTCTTATATGGAAAAATTATGTTGTTTTTGCGATATATAGGTTCAAGTTTTTTACGTGCTTTCCAAAAATGCAGCAAATAATTTTGTGACTCTGATGTATGAATTGGAACAAAAGAGTTTGCTCAGAACGCAGGAAATCGCATTTCCGAGGTTCTAGATTTCAAAATTTCCCGGGGGAGGATACCCCCGGACCCCCGACAAATGCGAGTTCTTATGTATGCATCAGTCAGCTCAGGAGCTGGATCCGCCCCTGTCGGAATACGGAACTTGTAAGAAAATTGACAAAATATATAACATTCTCGGACGAAACGATATGAGAAAATGTAGCAACTGATTGTTCGCCACCCCCTCTATTTGAATGAATGTGCTTGACACAGGTAATTTCCACTCTGTTTTAAGCATATTTAAACTTCAGCAACTTTAACAGAGTTGGATTTAACCCACAGCCAACCGCGGTTCGGTTTCATGGTGCAGCGCCAGCAGGACCGCTGCCAGTGAATTTTTATCAAAGTTCTTCGCGGGAAATTTTCTTACATGTCGCAGGAAAGTTTTGTATACTGGAAAGCCATATAATTTACTTATTGTTTTAATATCGCTAAAGCATTTTACAAGTCATGATTGTCTTTTTGTCGAGATTGTTTTATATCTGAAATCTACATGTGCAAGACAATTCTGAATGTACATGTGCAATGTTTCTCTGAAATCTACATGTACAAGATATCTTACATAAATCTACATGTGCAAGAGGTTTTGTATTAGAGGTTTTATATTTACACGTGCAAGAGGTCTAATATCAGGAATGGTTCATACACTGATGTCTATATTAAGTAGCTTTGAACGTGATATGTTGTACTTACAATACGATACGATGCGATGCGATACAACTTTATTTTAACATGGTAAAATCTTCAGTACATTAATTAAATATTAAAAAAAAATGATTACAACTGATTTCCAAGATTGCCGTGTGGGAGTCATTTTACAAATTATAGTAATAATTTAAGGAATTCTTAAATAGTGGTAACGAACGAAGCATTCGTATATTTTGAGGCAGGTTATTCCACAATAAGGCTCCACTATAACAAAGGCTTCGTTTTAAATAGTTAGTTCGTGGCTTAGGTAAATTTAGCTTTATTTCAGAGTCTCTTAAGTTATACCCACTGCCGCGAACAGAGAAGAGATTTTGTAGGTAAGATGGTGCATCACCATTGATTATTTTAAACATAATTCCAGCCTTAATCTTTTTGCGTCGTAAACAAAGATTGTCTAGGTGCAAATTATTCAAAAGAGAACTAGCGCTTGTATCATAGTGCGACCTCGTAATGACTCTTACTGCTCGGTTCTGTAGTTTCTGTATTTTATTACTGACAGTTTCTCCAAAACCGTCCCAGACCGAGCAGCAGTAGTCAAAATGAGGTTGTATCAAGGCTTGATAAACCTGAACAGCTGTTCTCGTATTTACAAATGGTCTAATACGTTTTAATGCACCAATGGCTGAAGCAATTTTTTTAGTTATTTTTTCTATATGGGTTGACCAAGAAAGGTGTTTGTCAATATGTACTCCTAAGGATTTAACAATATCGACTTTGTTGATTTCACTACCATCAAGCTTAATGGTTATACTACCTTGAGTAGCATTGATTCTCTGTCGGGATCCAATTGTCATAAACTCTGTTTGTGCAATATTTAAACTGAGCTTATTTGTAATAAGCCAGTTTTTAAGACGTTCTAATTCAGAATTAATGACACTTTGGAGCTCTTCCAGAGAATCAGCTCCAAAGCTTACATTCGTATCGTCTGCAAACATTCTAGGAGTGGCGTGGTGGAGGCAATTTGGCAGGTCGTTAATATAGATAAGGAACAGTAACGGACCCAAATTGCTCCCTTGTGGGATTCCGCACGTTACTGACGTCGAACCTGATAGCCGATGATTAACTTTGCATTTTTGTGTTCTGCCAGTAAGATATGATTCGAACCATTTTAAACTATTATGGTCGATACCATAATGTTCTAATTTCTGTAAAATTATCTGATGATCAATAATATCGACGGCTTTTTTCAGATCAATGAAAACAACCCCATTAATTAGACCATTATCTATATTAACAGACCAGCTATTTGTAGCCTCCAGCAACGCTGTTACTGTACTATGCAATGACCGAAATCCAGATTGACAGGTGGTCAACAGATTGTTGTCGTTAAAATATTTATTAAGTTGGTCAAAGATAATTTTCTCAAAAATTTTTGAAACCGTTGGAATCACAGATATAGGCCTATAATTGCTCGGATCATGCTTTGCACCGTTCTTATACACTGGCGACACCCTTGCTTCCTTCCATTCATCTGGAAATATTCCAGTATGAATAGATTTAGTAAATATCTCTGTTAAAGAAGGCGCAATCACATCTGCCGCCATTTTTAGCAATTTATTTGGTATTTTATCAAGACCAACAGATTTTTTTTCATCAATCGTTTTCAACAATCTGTGGACTCTATCAATCGTAGGAGTTTGCAGGTTGAACGTTTTATCTGTAGGTGTGAGATAGACCTCTGGGTTATACTCAGAAGCGGGTATTTTAGCTGCAAGATCAACCCCAACATTTGAGAAATGGCTATTAAACGTTTCAGCCATTTCGACAGGTGAAGTTACAACTTGCTCGCCTATTTTAATTTCCGAAATTCTGTTAATTTTCGTACAGCTTCGCGAATTTATTTCATTAATTAACTTCCATATTTTTTGTCATATCTCCTTTATGTTTATCAAGATTTTTGGTAAAGTAAAGTCGCTTTGCTTTTTTGATTTCATTGTTGACCTGATTTCTTGCATGTCTATATTGAGACCATTTTTGTGAGTCTTTAGAAGAGATGGCTCTCTTTTTTAAGAAATCACGATTGAAAATTAAATGTCTTAATTCATTGGTTACCCAGGGGGATCGCTTGCTGCTGACTCGCCTGGTCCTAAGTGGTGCATGCCTGTCAATTACATTCATTAATAAATCCTTCCATGTTGCCCACATTACATTTGGGTCTTCATAGTGGTGGACATTTTCCCAAGGTTGTTGTCCCAGTTCGCTTAGAAAACTATCTCTATTAAACGTTTTCATTGATCTAGTCTCTATGTTTCTTGTCCCTGTCTGTACATAATGTGCTTTGCGTATAATATAGACCATCGAGTGGTCACTAATTGAAAGATGAATTACACCAGAATCAACAGTTGTTGATAATGAGTTTGTTAGGCAGAGGTCAATCATAGTGGTAGATTTCTCGGTAATTCGTGTTGGTTCTTCAATCAACTGATGCAGGCCATAGATATCAAATAATTCGGTTAATGTGCTTTTACATGAGGAGTTAGCCGTCGGTGTGAAATCAACATTTATGTCCCCAAGAAGAAAATATTCTAAATTTTCGGCGTCAAGTGCCCCAATCATTGTTTCGAACTCGGCAAAATGACTTACTGGAGAATCAGGAGGTCTGTACCAAGTGCTTACCAAAATAGATTTTGATCGTGGTTTTGTAATCTCTACGATCAGATTTTCTAGGATTTCTGATTGCAGATCATAACGTATTTTATAGTTTATGTTTGAACAAACATAAAGACAAACTCCACCGCCTTTGCGGCCATTCACTTTTCGATCTCTCCTAATTATTTCAAATCCTGGTAAACAAACCTCCTGATCACTAATTGTGAGGTCAAGCTTAGTTTCATTGATACATAATATATCAATTTTATTACTACAAATAAATATACGTAATTCATCTATATGTGCTATAAGACTGTTATGTTTAAGCATGCCATTACCATTCTTCGAAGGAAAGGCATTGTGGTTATATTAAAATTAGTGGTGTTTAACTTACCAAATCCTTCTACTATTTGATCATCACTATCTGTTTGTTGTAACTTTTTTTTTTTAACAGCTTTATTAGGAACTTAATATGTTACATTAATAAGGTACAAATACAACAAACATGCAGTTCCTAAACGGGAAAATAGCGAACGGGCCATAATAGCCCATGCGAGGCTACCTCCCGATTTGACTTCTGTCGACATTTACAAATTTACATAAAATTAAAAATTTAAAATCGTTGAAAGCACGTTTACACACATTCAGGCCAAAGTGATAGGACCTATGTTAAAATAATTCTTTGTAAGCCAGATAAAACGTCATTTGGTGGCATCAATCATAAAAGAGGTACCCCCGAGCGGTCGTAATGCGTAAACGTGCTTTAACTCCTGTGACAAGCACAGTCTCTAACACCTGACCAAGTACATGTCAAATTTGCATCAAAAACATTCAATAAAAGTTCATTATAATGATTGATTAAGAACGTTTTAAAAGTGGTGACACTAGTAAAGCTGCTACATGTGGCAACTTTGCATATAGAGTTCCATATCTTACAATTCGATTAAAAAACGAGGCCTGAAATGTAGTTGTTTTACAATATGGTATTTTTAAAACAAGGGTGGAATTACTACTGAGACGTGTTCGCCCATGAGTGACAAAGGAGACAAAGTCTTCCACATTTAAGTCGTAAAATCCATGGAGAGCTTTATAGAAGAACATCAAGTCTCTTATTTCTCGATCATAACATAAAGGTAACATATTTAGAACAGATAACCTGTCTCGATACGGAACAATTCCCACATTTACTTTCAGGATCCATCTAGTGGCACGCCTTTGTATTTGCTCTAATTTGATTTTCAGGTTACTTTGGTGAGGAGACCAGACTTCACTTGCGTAGCATACTTGTGATTTGACAAGGGCCAAATACAGAGTTCTCCTGACATGCACTTGAGTCAAGAGAGGGCAGGGTCTTTTCAGTAGCCCGAGCATTCTATTAGCTTTCGCAGATATTCTTTGGATGTGGGAATCCCATGATAGGTTACTGGTCATTAGTACACCGAGATCTTTTTCTTCTTGTACTTTATTGATAGGAAACAGGTCAAGATGATAGATAAAGGGGATAGGTTGTTTCTTCCTAGTAACCGTCATCGTCTTGCATTTCGACTCGTTAAAAGAAATGTTGTTGTTGCTACTCCAGGTCGACAAATTAGATAGAGCTTGTTGTAAGTCACAAGAATCACCTTCGGAAGTTATTTTTCGGAATGATTTGGTGTCGTCAGCATATAGCGCAACTTTCGTAGTCTGTGGCACAGCATTCGGAAGATCGTTTATGAAAATAACAAACAGCAAAGGTCCCAGTATGCTGCCCTGAGGCACACCAGAAGTCACATGTGTCCAGCCAGAGCATACCCCTTCCATGACAACCCTTTGAGTCCGATTATTAAGATAGTCTCGAAACCAATTGAGAACCATCCCTTTAACCCCCAAAAACTTAAGCTTTTCTATTATCAAATTATGGTCGACGGAGTCGAAGGCTTTGGCGAAATCTAAATATAGTATGTCTGTTTGAATATTTTTGTCTAGGTTTTGTCCGATTAAATGAAGCACTTGTAAGAGTTGAGTTACGCACGAACGATTCCTTACAAAACCATGTTGTTGTGGAGAAATAGCATTTATTACGTGATCATATAACTCAACATTACTTGACTCCCAAACGGCAATGTCCTAGTCTTTTTTATTATGAATATACTTATTAAAATTACGAGATAGCATTGCTGTCCCCACTTTGTTGAGATGAATCCCGCTTCGATTAAGATGATTTGATATAATATTATGATGTCCAATGAATTTCCAGTGGCGTTCGAGACACATTTCTTTCAAAACTTTATTAACCTGATTCACTTTATTTGCAAGATCACCATTATCTATCCGAGTAATTAGACCAGATATTATAACCTCTGTCTCAGGTAAAGTATTCTTGACTGACTCTGCTAGCGAGATTATTTCTTCGGCATGTTTAGTAGAAGTTTCCCTACTCTTAAGGCTATTAGTGCCAACATGTAGAATAAGTTCGTCAGGTCGTTTTCTTTGTATGGGTTTGACGTGGTCTGCCATATCTAAGATGGTGCATCCAGGAAATGTTGAAACTTGGACCCTCGTATTTTTTGCAGACATTCTATATCCATTTAAGTGCTTAATCATTGAATCACCCGCTATTATGACTTTTGTAGGCTTAGTTGTTTCACTATTATGGGCTCTACTTTGCTCCTCTTGCATATTACTGCTGCTTTCCTGGGTTTCTCCTTGACTATTAGAATGGCCATATACATTCAGTTCTTCTGGCATTGTATCCGCGAGTGCTATATTTTCGTCTGTAACAGCACTCGTTGATGCGGTTTCCACTGTAACAGCATTGGTTGATGCAGTGGGCAATCTTTCTTTGGTAACATACGTAGATCTCTTTCTCCTTTTCTTCGGTGTCTTTGCTGCAGTCCAAGCGTTCTTTTGCTGATCATTTGCGTTATTGTTCCTGTCACTGTAATTAGTATGCTGTAAATTGTCTTCTTGTAATAATCTAATTACCGTGGTGAGGCTAGTTTTTTACTTTGCAATTCGTTTACTTTTGTTTTAAGTTGTTTTATTGTGGATTTAGCTGATTCCAAGTCACTTTGTAAGCGAACATTTTCCCGTCGTAGCGACAGATCACTGTTTCAAGGTACGGTGGGATCATCAATCTCATGAGCGTCCATTCGATTTTGTAATAGCTTCATTTCAACTTCGATACGCTTGATTTGTAATGTAAAGTCCTTGCAATAACAAGGTTTTCTCTGGTTCGTATTCACTTACATTGTTCGTCTGCTGTGAATAGCTATCAGCATTACATGCCAAAAGGCTATGAGACTTTTTGCTTTCGCCCGCCATATTGCCTTCGTGTCGAAGCTCGTTGTTTGTATTGAGCTTGTCGGTATTCATCGTAGCTAACTTCTCTAGTTTCTCGACGAGACTTTGGTTGTGACCATCACAAACAATCGACAGTTTTTTCTTACTTTTTCCATGCCATTTTAAGATGTAATTGCAGCTAGTAAATAGCTTTACTTCGCCACCCGGCGACGTCCATTTTCCTTGAAGTTGCAAATCGTATTTTACAAGGGCTTTTAATTCTTCCAAAGATCCCTCCCAGGCAAATTCTTTGGCTGAGTAAATAAGATTAACTGCCTTAGATGTTAGATGCTCTTCCTCATTATTGTTACTTTGCGGATAGGCAAAGTAATCTTCTATAATCACAGAGTTTTCCAAAGTATGTCCTTCGTCCATGACTGTGAGCAACAAATTGTTTGTTATGTAAATAAGTTATGTTTTTAACAATTCAATTAACGATTGGGCGTTGTGAATACGGAATATGGCGAAATATCACGGAATATGGCGGAATATCACGGAATATGGCGGAATATCACGGAATATCACGACATTTTCCCGGAATATACCTAAACATCACGATATTTTCCGATGGTAGCCATGCGACTGTTTATAAACATGGACGTTTGACAACATATTTTATAATCGTGGTTTTGTAATCTCTACGATCAGATTTTCTAGGATTTCTGATTGCAGATCATAACGTATTTTATAGTTTATGTTTGAACAAACCATCCCGACCATCCTTCCGACCATCTACCCGATCAAGGTGGTATCTGGTCGAATCTGTGAACAGATTACTGATGCTAAACTGAGAAGTAATCCGCATAACCTGATCAACGTTACATTAGAAAACCCATTACAAGCAACGCCGCTACCTAATTTAATAGATACTCAAGTCAGCAATTCCATGACAATGTCTAGCTCAGATATAGAAATCTTACCATCTCAAGGCCTGGTGTCTACCCTTCCCAAATTTTTTCTTTCCAATGTACGATCCATATCCAATAAAGTAGATGATTTTAATGTAGTTGTCGAATCTGTGAACAGATTACTGGTGCTAAACTGAGAAGTAATCCGCATAACCTGATCAACGTTACATTAGAAAACCCATTACAAGCAACGCCGCTACCTAATTTAATAGATACTCAAGTCAGCAATTCCATGACAATGTCTAGCTCAGATATAGAAATCTTACCATCTCAAGGCCTGGTGTCTACCCTTCCCAAATTTTTTCTTTCCAATGTACGATCCATATCCAATAAAGTAGATGATTTTGATGTAGTCGTCCAAAGAAATAGCATAGATTTTGCGGGAATTACAGAGACATGGTTGAATCCTAGCATCCCGGATAGCTGTATAAATATCCATGATTTTAACCTGGTTAGAAAAGACCGCTCTGGTCAACGCGGGGGTGGAGTTTAATAATAATAGTGAAGCAATAGGTTGTGGCAAGAGGTTGTTATTGTGTTGAAAGATGAAGCAACTTACTTGATAACTAAATATTTCAAATATATTTAATATTTTCATTTGATTAAATAAAGGACGAGAATGCGCAAGAGGTGGTGAATGAGATATAATACGAACAGCCCGTTTTTGATAAAGAAATAAACGGTTTAGATGAGTCTTATAAGTTGATGCCCATACAATAGTACAATATTGTAAATAGGGCAAGATGAGAGAGTTGTATAGCAAGCGAAGGGTCGATATCTCAAGGTACTGTCTAGCTTTATAAAGTATTCCTATTGTTTTCGATACTTTAGAGTTGATGGCGTTAATATGTGCGGTCCATGACAAATTCTGGTGAAGAGTTATTCCGATAAATTTTGTTTGTTGAACTCTTTCGATGTCATGTCCATGAATAGTAACATTAAGATTATCTAATTCAGGTTTCCTACGATTTGGATGGAAAACCATGTATTTTGTCTTATCAGGGTGTATGGTTCAGGGTGTATGAGTTTGTGCATTCGTAAAATCAAATATTCCATTCGTGCCTCTTCCTGACTTATGTTGTCCAGATCACGAGAGTCTGTGGCTAAAACTTCGACCCTATCGACTTCCACGGGAATATTCCTGCATAGTTGTTGGTCTTGTATACCATCCACCACAGGCCGATAATAACGAACTGTATGACCACCTCATAACTTTGTTGGACAAAATTTTAGCATCTTACCCAACAGCAGGTGTAATTGTTATGGGTGACTTTAACCAGTTCGACTCCAAACGCCTTTGCAGAAACATGTCACTTAAACAAATTGTAAAGAAACCTACCCGTGGGAATGCAACTTTAGATTTAATATTTACTAATATGAAACGTTGTTACAATGACCCTGAAATACTCCCTGCTATTGGACAATCGGATCACATGTTAGTCCTGTTACACCCCGTTAGCAACAATCACCGCCCTAATACCATTACCAAAGTCTGGGTCAGAAAGCGGAAGCAATCAAATATGCAGGCATTTGGTCGATTTCTTTTGGATCTTAACTGGAATGTACTTTCGCAGCTACCCGATTGTCAAAAAATGTGTGACCTGTTTTATGACATTATTCTCATGGGTTTGGATACAATTTTCCCCCAAAAATCTGTTAAACTTCACCATAGAGACAAAGCGTGGATTATCCCTGAAATCAAACTCCTCATCTCCCAACGGCAAAAGGCCTTTGCCTTGGGAAATACAATTGAATACAACAAATTGCGAAATAAAGTAATTCACGTCGTGAAACAGGCAAAGTCTAAATACTTCGAGTCTCAAGTGAATCATATAAAAAATTCAAAGCCAAGGAAATGGTGGAGTGCTATTAAAAGCCTAGCTGGCTTTTCGTTAAAGCCTGCCTTCCATTCTGCCGAGGTGAATGGAACTATCTTGCAGGGACGAGACTTAGCACTCGCTGTTAATAATGGGTTTTTAGCCGCCACTAAATCGTTACCGCCGCTTTCAATTACTGATAAACTATCTGTGGAAGAACCTACCGTTTTGTACCCTATCTCCGTTGTTGATGTCGAATCGCGTTTAAAAGCAGTTAAATCGAATAAAGCTCCTGGTCCAGACTCTCTGCCAAATTGGATTCCCAATAACTTTTCAATGGAGATTTCAGAACCTGTGACAATGATTTTTAATGCCTCCCTTAAACAAGCACAAGTTCCAATGCAGTGGAAAGAAGCAAATGTCATTCCCGTCCCTAAGACATCCTCGGTCACGGATATATCTTCAGACCTGCGACCTATATCTCTGACCGCCACGCTCTCAAAGGTTCTTGAATCATTTCCATTTCAATGGATTATGGATACCATTAAGTCTCAGTTGGACCCAAAGCAATTCGGATCGTTAAAAGGCTCTTCTACGATAGACGCATTAATTAGCATGTTCCACTGTTGGTATTCTAACACAGACGGTAATGGCGAGACTGTTCGTGTTTTTCTGCTTGACTTTAGTAAAGCATTCGACAGAATCAACCACAAAATCCTGATAAAAAATGCAATTACTAAATATTGATAAATCCTTAATAAACTGGGTTATTGATTTCCTGATGCAAAGAAGACAGAGGGTGAAATTGGGTTCTTCGTTCTCTGATTGGTCCTTGGTAAATGGAGGCGTCCCGCAAGGTACAATCCTTGGCCCATTACTCTTCCTCATCATGGTCAACAATTTGGCTATTAAAAACAAAGATAGATGGAAATATGTTGACGACACTAATCTCTCCAAAACAATCGGTAAAGGTTGTCAAAGTAACCTGCAATCCGTTATTAATAATATCGATCAATGGTGCACGGAAAATGATATGATGCTTAATCGTTCTAAATGCAAAGAGCTAATTATCTCGTTCGCTAAGGACGTCCCTAATCTTCGACCATTGTTTATTAAAGATCACTGTATGTCCCCAGTTTTATCAGCAAAGGTTCTTGGTCTGTACTTTTCTTCTGATCTTAGTTGGAACTTACATGTTGAACACATAGTATACAAGGCATCAAAGAGACTTTTTTTGCTAGGCATCAAAGAGACTTTTTTTCTCTAATTCAAGTCTATACCACATGTATACGACCTGCGCTTGAATATGCATGCCAGGTTTGGAACTTAAACTCCCCTGACTATTTAAAGGAAGAAATCGAAAGAATTCAGAAGCGAGCCCTACGAATAATATGTCCTGACCTGTCATACCGCAAAGCCTTGGAAGTTCATGAAATATCGTTGCTCTCTCAAAGACGAAATAATTTATGTAAATCCTATTTTAAGAAACTTCTCAACCCGGAAAATAAATTGAATGAACTTATCCCTAATAAACGTGAGGACTTACGTACTTACAATCTGCGTAATGATCAGCATATTAACTTAATTAATTGTAAGACTACAAGATTTAGTAAAAGTTTTATTTCTTCTAGTATCGTATCATATAATGATTCATTTTATTTGTAATATAAATTTTAGTTTTAATATACCGTATATTACTATATGTATTAGTTTTACCATGTATTTTAAATGTCAACTCTGTACAATTCAGCTCTTAGCTGCCATTCAGATTTTGTAATAAATTCAATTCAATTCAATTCAAACATAAAGACAAACTCCACCGCCTTTGCGGCCATTCACTTTTCGATCTCTCCTAATTATTTCAAATCCTGGTAAGCAAACCTCGTGATCACTAATTGTGAGGTCAAACTTAGTTTCATTGATACATAATATATCAATTTTATTACTACAAATAAATATACGTAATTCACCTATATGTGCTATAAGACTGTTAATGTTTAAGCATGCCATTACCATTCCTCGAAGGAAAGGCGTTGTGGTTATATTAAAATTAGTGGTGTTTAACTTACCAAATCTTTCTACTATTTGATCATCACTATCTGTTTGTTGTAACTCAACATTACTTGATTAATGTCCAATACCACTGCAAGATGTCCAATGGACATAGAGATGTCCACTGGGCATTTGATTTGTCTATTGGATCCAATGGACAGGCATAAGTCCACTGGACATTTGGTTGTGCATTAAGTAAGTTATCTCGAATGACGTCATATATGGGCATCAACCCCATGCAGGTAAGCAGGCCTGTGAGATGGCAAAGGCAGTATATGTCCAATGGTCCATTGGATCCAATGGATCCAATGGATCCATTGGACATGCATATGTCCATTGGACATTTCAGTTGTCCATTGGATCCAATGGACATAGAGATGTCCACTGGACATTTAATTTGTCCATTGGATCCAATGGACAGGCATAAATCCACTGATATATACTTATTATGATGGCGGATGGTCATGCTAAGGTTAGCTCCATAGATATTCCCAATACTAAATTTAATGTTGGAAATGTGAATTTGGACGATATTCGAACGTATAAAAACAACAACACTCTTGTCTATGATGGGAAACGTTTAAAGTGGAACGGCAAC